TCTAGTGAATGTCTACCAAGTTTGTTCAAATAAAAGCCCTGAGGTTAAAATTGGCCCCGTCCCGGGGGACATTAATTTTCCTTATATGTGAATAGCAAAAACTTAAAAATCTTCTTTGAAAAAACCCGAATAGCTAGAGTTTAGATATTAAGCATGAAACATTTTCTAGTAAGTGTCTACAAAGATTGTTCAAATAAAAGCCCTGGGGTCAAAACTGGCCCTCCCCAGCTGTGTCATTGTTTTTATCTTTATGTGTAAAGAAAAAACTTGAAAAATCTTCTTTTAAAAAACCCAACGAGCTAGACCTTAGATGTTTAGCATGAAACATCTTCTAATGGGTGTCTACCAAGTTTGTTCAAATAAAAGCCCTGGGGTTTAAACTGGCCCAGCTCCAGGGGCCTATATACAGGTGAGCGACTTCAGGGCCATCATGGCCCTCTTGTTTTAAGTATTTAGGCATTGTAAATTCAATCAGTCACAGAATAGAATTAAGCCATGTTAAGTAAGGACAATTGGCCATGTCGTTTACTTGAAATATTCGCTGAATCCTAAAGATTTCATACCTTATATTTAGCGGTAATCTTCACGGTGTTTGACCACTAATACTGCCTGCAGGCAGATTAAAATTATACTTGCCAGTTGTTGATTACAGTGTATGACACCTACGCTCAGGAAGCCACAGGGAGTAAACAATTAATTTTTTAATTGATCAAAATTATTGCCGATAATTGTTTGTTGGAAGGGGCACATAGATAAATACCAATCAAAGGATTAGTGTCACCATTGTAATGCTGTAAGGGGATAATCGTTCGTCATTAGCGTTCTAGAATAGTTTATAAAAACAGGACAATAAGATTATATGAAAATTTAAAATTTCTGGCTACAAAGTAGATTATTTTAGATTTTTAAATACTGGGACATAAAACATCTCCGGAACACCTCCAGGACAGACACCTTATGTCCGGGACTTTCCCCGGGGATAAACTCTTGCACAATCATAGTGACCGCAAATTTCGCGAATATTAAGTCACTGGAGCATATATTACTAATATCACTATTAGGTTTCAGTATTTGTCTAAACCTGCAAGACAAGACTAAAAGCATACGATATTGACTAAATATTTAAATTTTACTTATAAACAATCTACATGTATATGGAATTCAATTTTGACATAATTCTCGGATACCAGAAAAATAAAAATGCATTCAGATGACAACAGTTATATTTGCATGTAAAACTGAACATCGAGTTAAATAATCATATGATTTATAATAACCTACTTTCTGAAAACAAATTTATTGTTTGAATTATATAAATTTTAACAGTTAAAAATAAACAGAAAACATTTATTCATATTGGTATTATTTGCTATTGTACTTGTACACAATAACACATTCCTTTTAAGCAAGTAAAATAACTTTCATTCAAAGTATGCAAACTGTAAATAACATGTATTATATGATCTAATTTAATCTATAAATAATGGCTACAGAACTTTAAACTTGAAATGTGTATCAGTTAAGCATAGGTTAAAGTTATGTATACTTTATCAGAGTACTTCATAATGACATAATGAAAATCTATGTGGTTAGAGCTTCAAATGTTTGCGGATTTGTTACAGGCAACTCCTTCAAAAATTTTCAGAAATGTATCAACCGCAAAAAAGCCCATACTAAAAATCGCAAAATAATTTCTAGGAATACAGTATTTAAAAATAAGTTCAAGAAATACTTAGTATGTGTATTTATATATTTATACTGAAAATGGTTTCCGGAGCATAACTTAAGTTCTATTTGGCCCACAGTATTCAAACTTCGTAGGATGATTGTCCATATTGGGTAGAAGACTCCTATTGATTTTGGGGTCACAAGGTCAAAGGTCAAGGTCACTATTACCTTAAAACTGAAAATGGTTTCCGGAGCATAACTTAAGTTCCATTCGGCCCACAGTATTCAAACTTCATAGGATGGTTGTCCATATTGGGTAGAAGACCCCTATTGATTTTGGGGTCACAAGGTCAAAGGTCAAGGTCACTATTACTTTGAAACTGAAAATGGTTTCTGGAGCATTACTTAAGTTCTATTTGGCACACAGTATTCAGACTTCATAGGATGATTGTCCATATTGGGTAGAAGACCCTTATAGATTTTGGGGTCACAAGGTCAAAGGTCAAGGTCACTATTACTTTGAAACTGAAAATGGTTTCTGGAGCATTACCTAAGTTCTGTTTGGCCCACAGTATTCAGACTTCATAGGATGATTGTCCATATTGGGTAGAAGACCCCTATTGATTTTGGGGTCACAAGGTCAAAGGTCAAGGTCACTTTTACCTTAAAACTGAAAACAGATTCCGCTCAATAACTTAAGTATTTATTAACCTACAGCTGTAAAATTTATTACGATTATCAGAGCAGCCATGTTCAATACATGACCCCTATTGATTTTTGGGTCATAAGGTCGAAGGTCAGGGTCACAATGATCTTTACACTGAAAGTTGTGGTTCTGGAGCATAACTACAACTTGATGGTGGTGTTTTGAAAACAGCAACTGTATATATATGAAGGTTCTTCAGCTATAAAGGAGGATTGCTTTTTAGCTCGACTAGTCGATAAGAATAAGTAGAGCTATTGCAGTCACCCGAGCGTCGGCGTCTGCGTCGGCGTAACCACTTATGTTAAAGTTTTTGTAATAGTTCAAATATTTTCAAAGTCCATTGACATATGGCTTTGAAACTTTGCACACTTGTTCACCATCATGACCCCAACTTGTAGACAGGAGGAGGTAACTCTATCAAGCATTTTGACAAAATTATGCCCCTTTTTCGACTTAGAATTTATGTTAAAGTTTTTGTAATACCTTAAACATTTTCCAAGTCCATTGACATATGGCTTTGAAACTTTGCACACTTGTTCACCATCATGACCCCAACTTGTAGACAGGAGGAGGTAACTCTATCAAGCATTTTGACAGAATTATGCCCCTTTTTCGACTTAGAATTTATGTTAAAGTTTTTGTAATACCTCAAATATTTTCAAAGTTCATTGACATATGGCTTTGAAACTTTGCACACTTGTTCACCATCATTACCCCAACCTGTAAACAGGAGGAGGTAACTGTATCAAGCATCTTTTTTTTACTATCAAGCACTAAGAATAGTCGAGCGTTGCTGTTCTACCGACAGCTCTTGTTGAAGGAGGTAATACTGTATTTAATTACCATGTCTTACAAATGTTTTATCCTTACTAACAAAAATTAAACACTTTAGGGCATATAATGCTTCGCCTAGCGGTGCTCTTGTTAAATTTGTCTTTTGACGTCTTGTCTGTGATATGCAGGCTTCATAACCTCAGATCCCCTGTCAAAATTCCATTTTATGTAGTTCCGCCCATTGTTTTCTTGTTTAGGGCACACGCATTCTTTTACTTAGGGACCATACCCCTCTTTTCATGGAATGACACTACTGTGTCACATCGAAGTTTCCATGATAACCGCTGTATGAACACATCTGCGGATGTTTCTAAAATCATAATTTCACCATTTTCGTGTTTAAATGTTGAATTCTGCTTAAGCCGGTGCTAGCTAAGCCGGTGCTAGAGGGCGTGGACGGTAACTTGCACTTTTCTGGACCCTCCCATGAACAGGCTCAATCAAACCGAGCCTGCAACAATCTTGCCGTGTTGGGCTTTCTATAGGGATTCTGTTTTTCGGTATTTCATATTTCTAATATTCATTGGTCATAACTATTAGATGACCCCTATTGATTTTGGGTCACTAGTTCAAAGGTCAAGGTCACAGGGCCCTTAAATGTCAGAAATGTTGCCGCTCATTATCTTGAAAACTATTTGTCACAAAGTCTTCATATTTTTCTTTTTTCCATAACTGAACTTTTCCATGTACCCATTTATGGCAAGTTTCTATAACAAAATAACCAATAATGTGAGTCAAGAGCTAGAAAGGGGGCCATATGTGTCGTTGGACATTTCTTGTTATTATTATTATAATTATTATTATTATTATAACCTTGATGTTTCTAATATTCTGAGACCCAAACAATTCAGCCCCTTCTGTGCTTTGATTTACGTTGTAAATTGCAGATTGAAATGATGTTTTAATGATAGTTATTGATAAAATGAATTGTTTGAATGTTAAGTTTGTGTGTTAAGATATATGTTTAAATTGTGATTACCATTTAATTATTGTTTTTACATGTTATATTTTCTTCCATTGATATGTGTTTTTTTTTGTGTGTGTTTTTTTTTTAAGCTCACCAGTCACAAAGTGACATGGTGAGCTTTTGTGATGGCTTTTCGGCCGGCGCCTGTCCGTCCGTAAACTTTTACTTTAAACAACATCTCCTCATAAACTGCTTAGCCAATTTCATCCAAACTTTACAGGAATGTTCCTTATTTAGTCATTTTTAAGTATTGTTCAAAGACTTTAATTCCAAGCAGAACTCTGGTTGCCATGGCAACCGAAAGAAAAACTTATAATATCTTCTTTTAGAAAACTGAAAGAGCTAGAGCTAAAATATTTGGCATGAAACATCATCTAGCCAGTGTCTACCAAGTTTGTTCAAATAAATGCCCTGGGGTCAAAATTGACCCCGCCCTTGGGGTCAATGATAGCCTTATTTGTATATAGTAAAAGCTTAAAAAAATCTTTTAAAAAACTGAAAGAGCTAGAGCTTAGATATTAAGCATGAAACATCTTCTAGTGGGTGTCTACCAAGTTTGTTCAAATATAAGCCTTGGGGTAAAAATTGGCCCGCCCCAGGGGGTCATTGTTTTTCCTTTTTATTTAAAAACTTAAAAGATCTTCTTTAAAAACCCCAAAGAGCTAGAGCTAAGATATTAAGCATGAAACATCTTCTAATGGGTGTCTCCCAAGTTTGTTCATTTAAAGGCCCATGGGTTAAGATTGGCCTTGGCCCAGGGGCCTGTATATGGATGAGCGATTTCAGGGCCATCATGGCCCTCTTGTTTGTGTATATATTTGTTAGGTTGATGGTAGTTCTGGAGATGGAACAGTGAGACGGCATGCTCAGCCTGATGTCACAGATACTCAGACCACAGACTACAAGACTAAAATAAATGGTAAATTGTTTTATATTTGTGAACTGCTAATGGATGTTTAAGAACATTAACACCATTTGCAATGGCATATAGTCATAGACTTGTGTGCAGAAGGCAAAGGGGGTATTAGAAATGGTCTCTGTCTGTGCATTAGTGCATCCATGCGTTAGTGCGTCGATCCAAATTTGTCCAGAGCATAACTCCAAAATTACAAACTTCAGAGCACATCGGATGGAAGTTCAGTGTGCAATTTTATCTATACCTTGTCTTCTTTTACAGTTATTTCCCTCTATCAGGTTTACATGAAAACTTTGTCCGAAGCATAAGTCAAAAAGTACTAGAGAATTTCTTCAAATTTAATACACTGACATAGTACTTTGGTAGGAAGTGCAGTGTGTAAGAACAATTACTTTTTCTTGCCTACTTTAAGAGTTATTCCCCTTTATCAGATTTACTTGAAAAAGTTTGTCAGGAGCATAACTCCAAAAGTACATGATACATTCATACACTGACAGAGCAATTTGGTAGAAAGTGCAGTGTGCAAGAACAATAACTGTACCATACCTTCTTTTAGAGTTATTCCCTTTTATAAGATTTACTTTAAACAAGATCCTGAGCATTATTCCAAATGTACATGAGTACTTTTTAGCTCACCTGTCACAAAGTGACAGGGTGAGCTTTTGTGATCGCTTTTCGTCCGGCGTCCGTCCGGCGTCCGTCCGTCCGTCGTCCGTCCGTAAACTTTTACTTTAAATGACATCTCCTCATAAACCACTAAGCCAATTTCATCCAAACTTCACAGGAATGTTCCTTTGGTGGTCACCTTTAAAAATTGTTCAAAGAATTTAATTCCATGCAGAACTCTGGTTGCCATGGCAACCGAAAGAAAAACTTTTAAATATCTTCTTTTAAAAAACCATAAGAGCTAGAGCTTAGATATTTGGCATGAATCATCTTCTAGTGAGTGTCTACCAAGTTTGTTCAAATAAAAGCCCTGGGGTCAAAATTGGCCCCGCCCCGGGGGGTCATTGATTTTCCCTATATGCATATAGTAAAAACTTAAAAAACTTCTTTTAAAGAACCCAAAGAGCTAGAGCTAAGATATTTAGCATGAAACATCTTCTAATAGGTGTCTACCAAGTTTGTTCAAATAAAAGCCCTGGGGTCAAAATTGGCCCCGCCCCGGGGGGTCATTAATTTTCCCTATATGCATATATATAGTAAAAACTTAAAAAATCTTCTTTTAAAGAACTCAAAGAGCTATGGCTAAGATATTGAGCATCAAACATGTTCTAATAGGTGTCTACCAAGTTTGTTCAAATAAAAGCCCTGGGGTCAAAATTGGCCCCGCCCAGGGGGTCATTGATTTTCCCTATATGCATATAGTAAAAACTTAAAAAATCTTCTTTTAAAGAACCAAAAGAGTTAGAGCTAAGATATTTAGCATGAAACATGTTCTTATAAGTGTCTACCAAGTTTGTTCAAATAAAAGCCCTGGGGTCAAAATTGGCCCCGCCCCGGGGGGTCATTGATTTTCCCTATATGCATATAGTAAAAACTTAAAAAATCTTCTTTTAAAGAACTCAAAAAGCTATGGCTAAGATATTTAGCATCAAACATGTTCTAATAGGTGTCTACCAAGTTTGTTGAAATAAAAGCCCTTGGGTCAAAATTGGCACCGCCCCGGGGGTCATTGATTTTCCTTAAATGTGTATAGCAAAAACTTAAAAAATCTTCTTTTAAAGAACCCAAAGAGCTAGAGCTAAGATATTTAGCATGAAACATCTTCTAATGGATGTCTACCAAGTTTGTTCACATAAAAGCCCTGGGGTCAAAATTGGCCCCGCCCGGGGGGGTCATTGATTTTCCCTATATGCATATAGTAAAAACTTAAAAAATCTTCTTTTAAAGAACTCAAAGAGCTATGGCTAAGATATTGAGCATCAAACATGTTCTAATAGGTGTCTACCAAGTTTGTTCAAATAAAAGCCCTGGGGTCAAAATTGGCCCCGTCCCAGGGGGGTCATTGATTTTCCCTATATGCATATAGTAAAAACTTAAAAAATCTTCTTTTAAAGAACCAAAAGAGTTAGAGCTAAGATATTTAGCATGAAACATGTTCTCTAATAAGTGTCTACCAAGTTTGTTCAAATAAAAGCCCTGGGGTCAAAATTGTCCTCGCCCCAGGGGTCATTGATTTTCCCTATCTGATATAGTAAAAACTTAAAAAATCTTCTTTTAAAGAACTCAAAGAGCTATGGCTAAGATATTTAGCATCAAACATGTTCTAATAGGTGTCTACCAAGTTTGTTCAAATAAAAGCCCTGGGGTCAAAATTGGCACCGCCCCGGGGGTCATTGATTTTCCTTATATGTGTATGGCAAAAACTTAAAAAATCTTCTTTGAAAAAAACCCAAATTGCTAGAGTTAAGATATTAAGCATGAAACATCTTTTTGTGAGTGTCTACAAAGTTTGTTAAATAAAAGACCTGGGGTCAAAATTTGCCCCGCCCCGTCATTGATTTTCTTTATATGTGTATAGCAAAAACTTAAAATCTTCTTTGAAAAAACCCAAATAGCTAGAGTTTAGATATTAAGCATGAAACATCTTCTAGTAAGTGTCTACAAAGTTTGTTCAAATAAAAGCCCTGGGGTCAAAACTGGCCTGGCCCCAGGGGTGTCATTGTTTTTAACTATATGTGTATAGTAAAATCTTTAAAAAAATCGTCTTTTAAAAAGCCCAATGAGCTAGAGCTTAGATGTTTAGCATGAAACATCTTCTTATAGGTGTCTGCCAAGTTTGTGCAAATAAAAGCCCTTGGGTTAAATTGGCCCTGTTGGGGGGGGGGGGGAGGTTTGGGGGGCCTATATACAGGTGAGCGATAACTTTTATAAAGTAAATTGAACTGCAGTTGGTTAGTCCTTCTGAGCTAACATTTGTATATACCTACATGGCTAGAGGAACAATAGGATACTTAACTTTCTTTTTAGCTCACCTGTCACAGTGACTTGGTGAGCTTTTATAAATGCTGAGCCAATTTCATCCAAACTTCACAGGAATGTTCCTTTGGTTTGAGCTTTTGTGATCGTTTTCATGTCCGTAAACTTTTACTTTATACAACATCTCCTCATAAACCACTAAGCCAATTTCATCCAAACTTCACAGGAATGTTCCTTTGATAGTCAACTTTAAAAATTGTTCAAAGAATTTAATTCCATGCAGAACTCTGGTTGCCATGGCAACCAAAAGAAAAAACTTAGTAACTCCTCTTTTAAAAAACCCAAAGAGCTAGATCTTAGATATTTGGCATGAAACATTGTCTGGTCAGTGTCTACTAAGTTTGTTCAAATAGAATTCCTGGGGTCAAAGTTGCAAAGTTGGGGAGTGGGGGGGGGGTCATTGATATTTTCCTTATAATTTTTTATGTAAATAGTAAAACTAAAAAAAATGTTCTTTTAAAAAACCAAAATAGCTAGATATTAAGCATGTAAGGTCTTGTAGTAAGTGTCTACCAAGATTGCTAAATAAAAGCCCTTTATACATATATAGTAAAAACAAAAAAATCTTCTTTTGAAAAAGCCAAAGAGCTAGAGCTTATATGTTGAGCATAAAACAACTTCTAGTGTCTGTTTACCAAGTTTGTTCAAATAAAGGCCCTGGGGTCAAAATTGGCCCCACCCTGGCAGGGGTCATTGATTTTCCTTATGTGTATATATACTTAACGAAACTTACCCCAGTTATAGTTTTCAGCATAAATTATGATATGATTAACGCAAATATTGAAAACTTATGTTGTGTAAAGTTTAATCATATTTTTAACATTTCATAACAAAAAATTCATTTATAAACAACTCAAACTTAACAAAAAAGATCATAAACCGAGATCACTACCAGAACACAAATTCGCACCAGAGTCTTATGAAGTCAATATCGCGTATGTCAACCGTTTGCGTTACTGCTAAGCACCGTGATCACATTGACATAATGAAATTTCTAAAATAAGCCACTGGAATATTAGCCCATTCTTGCATTAGTCGGTTGTGTAGTTCTCTTTGGTTGGTGGGTGCATTCGGGCCTCTGTAGACACGCCGGCCAGATTCATCCCATATGTTCTCAATCGGGTTGAGATCGGGCGACTTTGATGGCCAGGGCAGTACGTTGACATTCTGCTGTTGCAAGAGTGCCGTGTTGTGCGTGCAGTGTGGCTCGTTGCCCCGTCTTGCATTACTGTCATGCCCCTGTTCTGTTGAATAATGGGAATGGCAACGGGGCGAATAATTTCGTTCTGGTAACAAGCTGCATCTAAGTTCCCTTGAATTGCAACAAGTGGTGTTTTCACGTGGAGTGAAATTCCAGCCCATATCATTACGGAGCCGCCGCCGAACTGATCTCTTTCTACGACGCATAATGCTCACCATGTCTGCGGTACACACGGGTTCTCCCATCATTTCCCTGAACATTGAAACGGGACTCATCGGTAAACAAGACTTGTGCCCAGTCCGCACGTGTGAATCTCAGATGAGTCCTCGCCCAGCGGACACGTGCACGACTGTGGTGTCCACGCAGTACAATTCCCCGATACGGCCATCTGGCACGAATACCAACGGATCTGAGGCGCGATCGGACTGTGTTGCTGCTGATTGGCCGTCCATGAGTCCCAAATGTTGCCCTTGCTGTTTCTACTGCTGTTCGCTTCCGCTGGCGGAGGTGCGATAAAACCATAAACCGGTCTTGTCTGCGTGTTGTCACTCTACCACGTGGTCTCCTCGGAAGATTGGCGACACTTCCGGTACGTCTGTACTTTGAGGCCAGTCTAGTAATAGACTTCTTTGTAACACGCATTCTTCGGGCAACCTAGAAAAAAAACAAAGGATTACAAGGTTCATAATACTGATATGCAACAGGCTTGTCGTAGAATGCATGCACTGAAATGCAATAAAACGAACAATGGGTATTGAACCACATACCTGCTCATGAGACGATCCGGCTTCTTAAAGTCCAATAGCGATTGCACGTTCTTGCAATGACATACGAGCCATGTTTTGTGTTTTTATGTTAGGCACATTATGGTCAGTTGCACGAAGTGCTCGTTTTCGATTTTCAACGACCACTCTCAAAGTATGGTTTTGCATGGTTAATTTTGCATAAATTCATTTTGAGCAGACGACAAATTGGGGCATTACATATAATCATTATCTAATGTGCATATTTTTAAAATAACACGTGTTTAATGCAAGTTTGTTTTTGGGGTACTTATAAGTTTCGTTAAGTGTAGTAAAAATTAAAAAAGAACAACAACAAAAAACAGAGCTTAGATATTAAGCATGAAACATCTTCTACTAAGTGATTACCAAGTTTGTTCAAATAAAAGCTCTGGGGTCAGAATTGGCCCTGCTCTAGGGGGTCATTGATTTTCATTATATATATAGTAAAAACAAAACAAAAAATCATCTTTTTAAAAACCCATAGAGCTAGAGCTTAGATATTTAGCATTAAACATCTTCTTGTGAGTGTCTACCAAGTTTGTATAAATACTAGCCCAGGGGTCAAAAATTTGCTCAGCCCCTTGATCTTATTAATTTTCCTTATTATGTTTATAGTGAAAACTTAAAAAAAATCTTTTTTTAAAAAAACCTCAAGTAACGGTATGTCTGTTGTAAAAACTTAAAAAATCTTCTTTTAAATAACCCATAGAGCTAGAGCTTAGATATTAAGCATGAAACATCTTCTAGTGAGTGTCTACGAATTTGTACAAGTAAAAGCTACAGGGTTAAATTGGCCCAGGGGGTCTGATTTTCAGTATATGTCTATACAGTGTAACTTCCGAATTCCGGAACTTCTGAAATCCGGAAACTTCTAAAAACCGAACAATTTTTTCGGTCCCGATTTT